CATTAGTGGGCCTCATTGGGGTCTAAAAGAGGGACGAAAGATACCAGAGGGACAGTCAAACTCATAGATCAAAAACAAACTGACAACGTCATGGCCAAAAATAAAAAGACAATCAGACAAATAATAGTACAGATGACACAACATAGAAAACTAAAGACTAAGCAACACGAACCCCACCAAAACTGGGGGTGATCTCAGGTGCTCGGAAGGGTAAGCAGATCCTGCTCCACATGTGGCACCCGTCAAGTTGCTTATGTTATTACAAATCCGGTAAATAGTCTAATTCGGTAAGTCACATTCGTGAAAAGGGAAGGGTATTGTAGTTACGACATAAGGAACATATCCGATATCATCTGTGAAACGGTTATTCCATAACGGTCAACCAACTCGTGATGGCGTCCGTAAAATTTACAAAGCGTGATGCGGGATTGCCGATTTTTTGTAAGCGTGATACGTGAAAGTCAAATTATTGTGCCGTGAAAACGGGAAATAAAGTCTAGCGGGATACGGGAAATTACAAAAAAAATGAGAATTGCTTACGTACATAGTGTAAGCGGGAAACGGGAATCTGCCAAACAGTGAGCGGGATCCGGGATCAGAACCCCCCAATGAGACCCCCTCATTAGTGACGGGCACCTCGATTGCTGAGTGGTCTTCGTAGTCGACAACTGTATCACTAGCCTTTGTTAGAAAAAGACCCATTTATATGAATAAAGAGATAAGTTCATTCTATAAAGATTCATTGTGTATGGAACCATACCTGGAGAGAAACTTTTTTCTCATAGTTTATGGAATAATCATGTGTAAATGGAGATAGCTTTTGAAATCAAGAAAGCTTTTGTAATAGTCCGTCTTATTGCAAATACTTGTTTAGCACTCATTTGAATCAGTGTCGAAATACTCTTTTTTACTTAGAATAAAATAATAATATCAAATCGGCTCAATCCTTAAAAAAAAACATTCTTCAATTTGTACTGAAATATACAGTATCATAGCTTTATACGTGCATTTGATGGAAAGAAATGATCAGAGATTTAGACCCACTCTTCAAAAAACTAAATTTTCTTAAAATCGATAGTCTTTGTATTTAGACTAAAACTTTAACTTTACCTAGTAATTGGTTTAAACAATACCTTGAAATATCCAACTTTCATATATATATTTGTTCATAGGAAAGGCATAACAACCTAGCAACAGCAAAACTGCCTTGCAACCACACAAATGGACGTTTAAAAGGAATTGCGCAAATGCTTTATATATAAAGTCCTTTAAAAATATCTTCAGACACTGTGTGCGCTTGTTGTGTTGATTTGCTTCAGTTTCAGGATCATGACAATCAGACATATAAGAATTTGCACATTGTTAGAAATTATTTTGGATTAAGTAATTTTTCAGGGATTGTAGCCGCGGATATTGAAATTGACAAGACATTTATAATAGAATCATCAATTAACCTTCCTTGCAGTCCAGCTTGCTTGTCCAGTATAACTGTAAAATCAGCTTATGTTCTTTCCGGTACGAAAAATTGCATTGGCTTTGCGATAACATCTGCAAGTCTATTGATATATAGTACTAAATTTGAGTATGGATACAAAATTCAGAAACTATGCAAGTCATATAATTTAGGACGCCAAATGCGCATTTCGTCTAATCATTAAAATCAAAACAAGTGGAAGGTCAAATCGAATACGAAGTTGAAAAGCTTTAAAAACCAAATATTCCAAATTCCAGCTAAGGCAATCAATGCGCCTGGGTGTTGAAAACCCTTAGTCTTTGGAATATTTAATCATTAATAAACATTTCATAAGAGAAAATGAACATCAATTATCTTTCTTGTCAACACAAATGTTCTGTATACTGGGTTGGTGATAAACTTCCACTAGCAATGGTATCGATCCAATGGTTATAATAAAAACCCAAAGAACAGGCTTATAATGTGCCATTTCAGACACGCGTGTCGTTTACACAAGATTCATTAGTGGGCCTCATTGGGGTCTAAAAGAGGGACGAAAGATACCAGAGGGACAGTCAAACTCATAGATCAAAAACAAACTGACAACGTCATGGCCAAAAATAAAAAGACAATCAGACAAATAATAGTACAGATGACACAACATAGAAAACTAAAGACTAAGCAACACGAACCCCACCAAAACTGGGGGTGATCTCAGGTGCTCGGAAGGGTAAGCAGATCCTGCTCCACATGTGGCACCCGTCAAGTTGCTTATGTTATTACAAATCCGGTAAATAGTCTAATTCGGTAAGTCACATTCGTGAAAAGGGAAGGGTATTGTAGTTACGACATAAGGAACATATCCGATATCATCTGTGAAACGGTTATTCCATAACGGTCAACCAACTCGTGATGGCGTCCGTAAAATTTACGAAGCGTGATGCGGGATTGCCGATTTTTTGTAAGCGTGATACGTGAAAGTCAAATTATTGTGCCGTGAAAACGAGAAATAAAGTCTAGCGGGATACGGGAAATTACAAAAAAAATGAGAATTGCTTACGTACATAGTGTAAGCGGGAAACGGGAATCTGCCAAACAGTGAGCGGGATCCGGGATCAGAACCCCCCAATGAGACCCCCTCATTAGTGACGGGCACCTCGATTGCTGAGTGGTCTTCGTAGTCGACAACTGTATCACTAGCCTTTGTTAGAAAAAGACCCATTTATATGAATAAAGAGATAAGTTCATTCTATAAAGATTCATTGTGTATGGAACCATACCTGGAGAGAAACTTTTTTCTCATAGTTTATGGAATAATCATGTGTAAATGGAGATAGCTTTTGAAATCAAGAAAGCTTTTGTAATAGTCCGTCTTATTGCAAATACTTGTTTAGCACTCATTTGAATCAGTGTCGAAATACTCTTTTTTACTTAGAATAAAATGATAATATCAAATCGGCTGCACCAGATGTGCATTTCGACAATTGTTATAAATAGATGCTTAGAATATATTCACGAAAACAGAATACAGAACGTACCATCGATTGTAAAGAGTTAAGTCCCTTGAGTTTAAGTCCTTGCATATTATACAGAAGAATGCAACCGTGTGACCAGTAAAAAATATCAATTGTCTATAATGAAAAAAAAATATAAAACTTCCTGAAGTTTCTTTTCAAATGATTATTTAACTTTCAAAAATACACATCTTCTATTAAAAATCAAATATGATTTAGAAAACATAACATTCGTCGTTGATATCTTTTGTTGCATAGAAGTACCAAAAAATATGGTCTATTGACCCGCTAAAAAGTTTTATTTTTTTGGTAGTTTCATTAAAAAACAAATTATTTTCTTTATATTTCAGAAACATAAGGTTAAGATATAAACATGATAAAGTCTTTTGTGAAAACGAATCTGATGCATGAAAGATATGTTTTTCTTTTTTGTGTTTTCATTTTCCTTTCAAAGAAAATAAACAAATGCATTCAAAATATCATTCATTTCTTGTTTGGTATTAACACACTGTTGATGATTGAATTTTAGTAAAAAAAAGTACAGTAACGTTTTAACTTTTTGTTTATTTGCACGATACCGTCTATTTTCAGAATTAATGAGTGAAGCTGTAATTATTATTATCTGTCTTCAAAACTGCTCTTAACAAACATTTTCACTTTCTTACCCTGTTTTAATCAACCAATTGATTCTTGCTCGGTAAACCGAATAATGGGAAAACAATATTGAGCACAGCATTGTGTGCATGAATTGTTCACATAAGTGTATTGATATGAAATGATATCGATACAAGGATTGGGCTGCCGAACATGTTTTCGTTTCGTTTGAATCCTTTTATCGTAATTATGTCAAGTCACAGCATTAGTGCTGTCTTTATACTGTAATTCATTACAATTGTATGCTCATTTGTATCATCATTTTGTTTGTTAAAAGATAAATCAGGAAAACCTTGATATGTCTGATATATGGTCTAAAGTCAATTTAAAGTTATGACAGAGACGATACAGAAGTGACAAAATCCATACATTAATGGAGTAATTCACTTACCGCAAATACATATAATTATATGATAAATTTTTAATGTTACGTTAATTGTGTTGAGATTAAGTTTGGTTGACTGAAGATCCAATTTGAACAATACTGCATCGTACATTCCAAATGCCATATACGGTCTGATTAAAGAGAGGCGAAAGATACCAGAGGGACATTCAAACTTATAAGTCGAAAAAAAACTGACAACGCCATGGTAAAAAAAAAATAAAGACCAACAGACATACAAGAGTTCACAAAACACAACATAGAAAACTAAAGACTGAGCAACATGAACCCAAACAAAAATTTGTGGTGATCTCAGGTGCTCCGGAAGGGTAAGCAGATCCTGCTCCACATGTGGCACCCGTCGTGTTGCTCATGTTAGATAATTACGTTATGAATAAGTTAAATCGAAAGTCCAGAATTTATATGATATATTGTAATATATTGCTATGTGTTGTTTTTTTTGTTTTTTTTTTACAATACATTAGACTCTCGCCATCTCGAAGTCAGCCAGACCAGAAAACATTTCGAAATACCCGTACCCGTTTGACTCATACTGCAAACTTTGACAAACCAAGGGACACAACTCTTACTTGGATTGTATAAACATAACATTTAGATGATCATATATTCAATCTTATTCAACAATTTGTCCTAGAAAAGCACATCATGTATTCTATCAAAAGTTACACCTGGTTTAGAGTACACTGGATATTTTCGAATCAGGTATCGTAATCTTCATCATATTTCGTAATAAATTAGTTCAAAATGTTTTGTCTCTCACTATGAAAATGAATATAAGGGTCATTAATATTTCATGTTAACGAAGTGTTAACTTATAACTTTCCAAATCAATGATAAAAAATTCTTTCGAATCTAAAATACACACTGTAAACCAACTTATATTCGCGGATACTTTATTTCGCGTTTAGCCCTTTCTAGTTCACTTCGCGGCGATTAAATTTTGCGATTTTCTAATTCACTTGATGTAGTTAGATCCAAGTTTTACATATTCGCGACGATTTATATTTGCGTTATTTTTCTACTCGCGAAACTCGCGAAAATAAATCACTCGCGAAAATTAGTTGGTTTACAGTATTGTTCAACATGTTCAACATTTTATACTTTATAAATTTGAATTTAAGATATTCAATCGACTAAGGTTCTTTCAGAAGGATCTACTAGCTTGTCAAATACAATGAAGGTTCAAATTGTAAAACTAAATTTCTTTTTCAAATATAATAGCTCCATCATGTTGCAGGCAATTAATTTATTCCTTCGAATCCGAGGCAAGTTGGTCCAGTATACATGTAACTTGGTTGTAAGGTGAATTTATATGAAGAAGACACAGTGTCAGTGCATGCTTTGTCAATGTTACAGGATTTACAAAATCGTTTTTCTTTCTAAAAGAGAAAAAAAGAAATACTTTTTATAAAATTTATAATAATTAATCGAAAGCATATTAATACATGTTTTTGTAAAATTGGATGTAGATCTAAATATCTATAACAATTTTGTTATATTTACTTCTAGTTATATGAATCATACATTTATCCATCTCACTGTATCAAAGCTAAAGGTTGACATGAGAACTGATATGCGCACTCTACAATTGATATGAACGCATGCACTATGTAATTGAAATCCAGATTTTTAATATTTAACTTACTGGGATATGTAGCTAGTGTCAAAAAACCCTTATATCTGTCGTATTTAACATGCTCTTTGTTTCCAAATGACAGTGCAAATTACACTTTCGTCATTTTTGTCAACTTTCTTTGCAGAACACACCCTTTGAATTAATTGTAAATGTTTTCCTAATGAATATGCCAGACATATTTGACCCTTTACTATACAATAAGTTAACATATAATATGACAACTCTCTTTGACATTGATAAACTGTGAACAACTTTTCAACCACCGGGTCGATGTCATGGCTGGTGGAGGTTTTATCCCCGAGGCTATCACCAGCCCAGTAGTCAGCACTACTGTTTTGATATGAATTATCATTGATATGGTCATAATTATTAATTAACTATTAAAAAACCTTAAATACTTATAAATACTAAGAATTTTCTACCCCATGAATAGATTACCTTAGCTGTATTTGGAAAGCCTTTCGGAATTTGGGTCCACAATGCTGTTTAACTTCGTACTTTATTTGGCCTTTTCAACTTTTTTTTTAGAATTGAGCGTCACTGATAGGTCTTTTGTAGACGAAACGCGCACCTGGCGTACAAAAGTTTAAGCATGATATCTATGTTCAGTTAAGTATTATTGATGTACAATGTGAGTGTTGGAAAAATACGATACGTATTAAAGCGGACTGTGTTTGTAATTAATAGTATATCTCCTGGTGAAGTTCAAATTAAGAGATATTCTCATTTTATAAAGTAGCTAATATACTCACATTTCATAACGAAAAATTCTTTGTGATTCATGTTTTGCAATGTTAAAACCATATTCATACTTTTGAATAATAACTTGAATTGATGTCCTAGCTAATTTATAGTATACTTTCACTCTGCTATGTGATATATTTTTTTATTCTCCTCAACCTTAATATCCTTTTAAAATTGTATCTAGAACTTAATTCTGGTATAAACTGGTGAAAAACATCGAAAAGAACAACAAGTCAACAACACACTACATGGAAACTAAAGACTGAGCACAGCAAACCACAGAATAAAAACTGACCAATAATTGGGTAAAGATGCGGAATTTATTTCAGGTAGGCGGTAACGGTAGCCTTTTCTTCAATTCCCCTGCCTATATCAAAAACTTGGATATGCATGATGACTCGTTTCGAAGCTGAGATATTTTCACTTATTTGGTTAAATTTTCGGGGTAGGAAGTGAGATTTATTTTCCGTAATTTAGCCTCCCCCCAAAAGCCTTTTGTGATGCGGATCCTGGATGTAAAAAGAAACCCATTTTTTTTCACAAAAATAAGTTCTTTGAAACATTTACAGCTTTATTCTATTGGTCCTCTGCTTTTCAAATCACCACAAATGGTTAAGCTCAGTCACTTGTTAAAAATTGAAACTTGTCCAATATAACTGAACATATATTTTTTGTTAACACACTACTTTTCAGTTCATGAGTTTGAGGCGCATTAGGGATATTAAATCTATGGTGCAAATACACATCTGATGCAGTTAAATTGGTATCGTTAATTTAATCAATGATACTTGGGCTAAACCTATGCTGGTGGACCGTAAAAATAGCGGGAAGTATCACACGATAATACGGACGTTGTTATATTTAAAGTTTAGAGTTACAAAACATGAAAAAGACATTTCAAATTACGGAATGTATCTCCGTCATGCATAGATTTGATACAGTGTCTAGGTTTGGCTTTCCTTTGTTTTCCGTATACTTTATAGCAACTTTTTAAGACTTTTTCCTATTCTAAATTGTGGCATTTTGACGGAGTAGGAACTCGCGAGGGGATGCATGCATAACACAAGCAATTACCCTGTCGACGCCCTTGGCCTTGCTTCTTTTGATGTTTCAGTTTTTGTTTGTTGCCATGATTTGTCTAGTCTTTATCAATTTAATCGGTAAAATACTGGCGCTTTAATTGTTTTAGGTTTTGAATTTTGAAAGGTTTTAGCTTCGAGTATCAACGAAGCTACATTAATTGTCGAGACGAGTGTCTGGTACAGTAAACTTGGTAGAATATGGTATTGAAAATAGATGAAACATACTTACTGTTTCAAGTTGATCCGTCCCATCCGGCTTTACATGCACAGTTGTATTTGGTTTGCACCGTTAATGTTATTGCACATAAATGAAATATACTTACTTTCACAAGTTGATCCAGACCATCCGTTTTTACAATCGCAGTTGTAATTTGATCCTCCAGTAGGTGAACAACTACCACCGTTGAGACACAGGTTGGGTGAGCATGCGTTTGCTGAAACAATTATTCATTTTTATTTCAGTCATCAAATATATTAAACGATTTAGGAATTTTATGAAATCATAATCTCAAAACTTAGATTCCTTTCAAGCTTGTTAGACTTAATTATATTTATCAGAGGACATTAACGCTCACGTTGAAGTGTGCTCAACTCGATTGGTGTAATTCGTTATTTCGATCCCTGGCCAGATCAAACACATTAAGCATTTTCTACTTCTTTGCTTAGATAGAGATTCGATTGTGGGCCAGAACAAAGACTGTCACAAAAAGTCACAATATGAGATCGAATAGCTTGAAAAATCTTTATACAGACTGTATGTCACCCTGTTACACATTACGTTAAAATCTGACTCAGTGTCGTTATAGTGGAAAGCTACGTTCATGTTCATATCGTTTCTTTATATGTATGCATTACACACTAATTCATCAAACCAGCCAGCATGCTGTTTAACAAAGAAATATCCACATACGTTGCATATAAGATTTATAATGCTCATTTTTTTTAAAAGTAAAAAGACAAAAAATTGTAATTTATTGATATACATGTGATATGTCACTACGTCAACTTCATTTAAGATAAAATGCATTCTTATATTTCTATTTAGATAGTCAGTAAATGATTGCAGAAAAATCGTTTACTTACAATCGCAGTTAGTTCCATACCACCCAAACGAACATGAGCATGTATGACTTGAACTTCCGGTTGGATGGCAAGTTCCGTGGTTACAGGGATTTGGTAAACAAGGATTTACTGTATTGAATATTATATATGATAAATACATAAAAAGATTGTAGTGCGTTTGTGTAATCTTTTGTACATCTTATATAGTTTAATAGTTATCACACAAAAAAGTGAAGTGCATTTTTTGTCTGTTTACTAGTACCTGGTTGACCTAACATAAACATAACTTGTGTTTCCTTATTGTTGCAAAGGAACAATGGTTTTACTGCTTACACAACTTTGAATTGATCGAAATACTTTTCGAGCATCACTGATGAGTCTTTTGTAGATGAAACGCACTACTGGTGTTCAAATTAATAAGCCTGGTTTCTATGAGTCATTTTTTACTAGACAATAAGGTCATCCGATTAATAATATAAGGATGACTGAAACAAATGTCACAATAGATACTTTCTAAGTTTGAAATAGCTTATTAGCTATTTCAGTTGATATTTTATAGTTTGTCTTTCTATGTTGTGATGTTACACTATTGTTTCAGAAAAAGGGTGAAGGTTTGGTACCATTAAAACGTTTTAACCCGCTGCATTTGTTTGCACCTGTCCTAAGTCAGGAATCTGATGTTCAGTAGTTGTCGTTTGTTGATGTGGTTCATAAGTGTTTCTCGTTTCTCGTTTTTTATATAGATTAGACCGTTGGTTTTCCCGTTTGAATGGTTTTACACTAGTAATTTTTTGGGGCCCTTTATAGCTTACAGTTCAGTGTGAGCCAAGGCTCCGTGTTGAAGACCGTACTGTGACCTATAATGGTTTACTTTTATAAATTTTGACTTGGATGGAGAGTTGTCTCATTGGCACTCATACCACATCTTCTTATATCTATATAAGTAATAAATTATTTGCCAAACACAAGTAGATTTAAACTGTAAGAACATGTATGAAGTACTCATTTAAATAAATGAAATGTACATTAGAGTTTTTTAATGGCAAATATTTGTTTTTGGAGGGCAGACTAGCCCATGGGCTGCTGTCAGTACTCGAGCTAACATAAAATAAAATTGATGTGGTCATTTTCTGTACATTTCATGTTCATAAAATGTTTAAATCATTTGAAAACACTAAGAATTTCTACCCAAGGGGTACAAAACCATAAAAAAGATAAGGCATAACATTTGGGGGTTTAAAGCTCTTTGAAATTGTTATGGATTCAGTTTCCCATTCGTTTCGGTTCGAGTGTCACTAATAAGCCTTTTGTAGAGGGAAGGCGCCTTATTTGTGCATAAATGTTAGCCTTGTATATTTTTGCATTCATTTTGTTTCGACCACTGCTGTTCAATGTTTCCTTCCTTGGATATCATAAGCCAGAGTACAAGAGTTTGCCCTGGCTTTTGGAGGAGTTCGTTTTCATCAATCCTAAGTTTTCTGTGTAATGTTTTGTGGACTGTTGTGTGTCGTTTTTGTTCTCTTTTTTATCATAATTTATGAGATACTTAAGAGAAAATTATTTATTTTTTCGGCAGAGGCACAAACAGGACGTTCTAGCTCACACTTTTTAGCTACCAAATCAGATTTGCAGGATTTTCTGTTGCAATTTTGTTCATTTATGGTTACTTGCCTCAAAGGCAAACGACATTAGAAGTTTAACAGTGTCCTAGGTAAAAATCAAAACATAAATAATATTAAATGCTTTAAATGCTATCATATGTGATTTAACAAATTATAAGTTTTCATTTGCTTACCATTGCAGTTAGATTCATACCATCCTGACAAACATGAGCATGTATGAGAAGAAATTCCGGTTGGATGACAAGTTCCGCCGTTGATACAAGGGTTAGGTAAACAAGGATTTACTGTATTCAATAGTATATATAAAACATTAAAACGAATGTATATGAAATAAGGAGATGCATGTGATAGAATTGCCATGAATGTAATATAAAACAAATAAAACAAACTGAAGAGTTATTTCATTCATTCAGGTTTTACATCTAAAAACTTTTGAAAATCATAATTTGAATCATTAACATTTAATCTGTTAGACGTTATAACGTTTTCTCCACCCGTCGTGGTAACAAAACCAAAAAAGCAGTATACCAGATTCTTGATTAGATCTAACAAAGTCTAGTATTGCATAAAATGCCAGATGACGGTCATCGGACTTCGACCAGTAGAAGAGTATTTTGTATTTTCAAAATTGTCCTTTATCTGAAATTAATCCAGAATTAATTAAATCTTTTTCTTAACATCAAAAGATATCATTTGCACCTTCGTAAAATTTACTCACTGTTACAATTTGACCCATACCATCCGAATAGACAAGCACATTCGTAATTCGATCCGCCAGTCGGAGTACACGTACCACCATTCTGACAGTGGCTCGGTAAACATGCATTCACTGAACAAAAGTCAATAAAATCAAAATAAATCATTTAGAAATTTTTGTTTGTTAAATAGATCAAAACATTTTAGAAAACCTCACACTGAAATTTCAATAGCAATACAAATAATTGCTATTTAGTCCAATCCGGGGGGAAAGTTACTTTGACAACTTCCTGTTTGTGTCAAGTGTTACAAAAACATCAGTAATGAGCTAGGGTTTGGGAATTTTGGTAATTGATTATAATCTAATTTTTTGAGACACAAGTTAAAGTCATTACAATGCTTATTTTGAAATGTTTTTACGATGGTTTAAAAAGGTCTCTTAGAAAAGTGTTATGCCCAATACATTACAGGCCCTTGATAGGTTCAACTGGTTGGTGACGTATTGACGCTTATCCGGATTGGAATAAATAGCGATAAGGTGTATTTTCTTTTTTTACCCATGCCGTTGTCAGTTTATTTTCGACTTACGAGTTTTAATGTCCGTCTGGTATCTTTCGCCTCTCTTTTTCGTTTTCTTTCAAAATTTGATCAGGTATTGCAAAATTCTTCAAATGACAATTAAATATTAAAACAAAACCAACTTCAAAACCAAAGCAAAGTTCCCAGCTTTTACATGTTTGTAAGAAGCATAACAAACAAACAACTCGGAATTATTATGCAAAGCTGTTCATGTTAATTTGGTAACATTTTTTTTCTCGAAAGTTTGACACCAGGGGGCCCAGTTACATATCGATTTCCATTCAAGTCAAGGCAAAACACAGATGTTTCTCAAAATCGATTTTTTTTTAACAAAGACTAAGTTTATACCACAATTTTGACAATGAAATCCTTTTAAATTTACATTTTACCTTTAAATTTCCGTTATGATTCTTACAAAATAAAAAACATCTTAGATTTGTAATCTTTAACTTAAAGTAATTTTTACCTGTTTTGACACTTAGATTCAATATAATATAATACAGTATTAATCATGTCAATTTTGTTGAAACCAAAGCAAAAAAGATGTGTTTCGATTTTTGTTGTTGGATTTATTAACTAAAAATAAGTCATTACCACAAATAAGTATGATATGGCATCGTATTGTATGGGTATGGTACGAATCCCCCATCACCTTACATAGAAAAGATTTTAATTTTTGACATAAAATCATAACAAAAAATACTGGGACACTTTTTTATAAATTTCTTCGTTTTCTCTTTATATTCATATTCAGGTTGGTAACCTGTAGATATTTTGATAGTAGTCTTTTGATGTAGTAATATATATACTATTTTATTTGACTATTGACATATTACGTAACGTACGGTTTCGTCATTAGAAGCAAGTGAATTCTTCAATCATAATTGAACTTACACTCGCAATTCGTTCCGTAATATCCAAGTGTACATGCACAAGAATAAATTGATCCAGAGACACTACATGTTCCTCCATTCTGACATGGACCCACTGAACACGGCGTAACTGAAAAAAGAAGTATATATGTCTGTTATCATCAATTCAATGTTTAAAATTGCTATTTCCGTAAAATAGAATTCACTTTAAAGTAATCTAATTTTCTTTAAAAAACCTGCAACAGTTGATTCCATATCGGACATTGAGGAAGCAAATCCATGCATTTGGACATTAAAGGGGTACTTGCAAATTAATATGTGTCAACCATCTTCATCCTATATATAAAGGTTCTTACTTTTTAAAGCAGTAATACGTTTGTTTAAGTTAGTTTTAGTTATGCTTTTTAATCAGTTATGTATAACCGATTTTTATTATAATGCGTGTCACTGAGATGTGGATTTCCTTACCCTTCGGGAGCACCGAAGATCACTCCCACATTTGCTGGGGTTTGTGTTGCTCAGTCTTAAGTTGTGAATTTTTGAGACTGTAACATTCGTTGGTCTTTTGATCGTTTTTAAGTCTTAACCAATAAAAGTGCATGGTATTGTGTGGTTTTGTATGGTATGGTATGATACTATAGGATAGGGTAGGGTAGGGTAGGGTGTATGGTAGGGGAGGGTATGTTGGGTAGGGTAGGATATGGTTTGGTACGGTATGGGAAATGTACGCCCCCTTAATAGAAAATGGTATATTTTGTTTGCAAAAAATCGTTAAAAAACGAAAAAATGGAACGTTTTTCTTTTCTTTCCTTTTTTCTTCTCTTTTCTTTTTTTCTTCATTTGGTAACACGGGGATGTTCTAATAGTAGTCTTTTGATGTTATAATACCTATTATATTTGATTTGACTATTGACATATTATATAATGGTTTTGTCGTAAGAAGCAAGTAAATTCTTTAATCAAAATTGAACTTACACTGGCAATTCCTTCCGTAATATCCAGGTTTACATGTACAAGTATAAATTGGTCCTGAGAAAGTACATGTTCCCTCATTCTGACATGGACCAGTTGAACATGGCGTTACTGAAATGAAGAATAATACATGTCTGCCATCATCAATCCAATGTCTAAATCTGCTTTTGTCGTAAAGCATAATGCATTTTAACAAAATATATTGTTAATTTAATACCTGAAAAGCACAACTAACACTGACTTTACAAATACAAACACATTACTGCTATAGAAAGTAAAAATCTGAAGATAAAATTCTGAAGATGGTTGACACAAATTTAAGAATATTCCGTTAATGTCCCTCTGCATACATCTACCCCCTCATTGAGGAATCAACTTTTCCAGGATTTTTCAGAGAATGCTTTTCAAGTATTAAATTAACAATATATTTTATTATTATTATATATATGCATTCTGTTTTACGGAAAAGACAGATTTAAACATTGGATTGTTTTAAGTTATCTCATTTTCTCTGAAACACCTGTAATAGTTGATTCCATATATCACTATGAGGGGACAAATATATGCATAGGGACATTAATGGAATACTCTTAAAGTTGTATCCTCCATCGTCATCATTCTATCTTCAGATTTTAACTTTTTATAGCAGTAACTTGTTTGTGATTTTATAAGTCAGTGTTAGTTGTGCTTTTCTGTATTCATGAAATAATATATTTCATTATAATGCTTTGCACTAAGATGTAAGATGTAATAATCTACTTAATCCTACTGGAGCACCCGAAATCAACCCCTGTTTTTTTTTGTTGGCTTCGTGTTGCTCATTTGTTAGATTTCTATGTTGTGTTTTCTAGACTGTTGTTTGTCATTTTAAAAAAGTTTTCTTTTTTTAATGTCACTATCAGTTCATTTCTTTACTTATGAGTTTAACTATCTGGTTAATATATTCCGAATCTGTTTAAGAAGCTTGTAAGACCGCATTTACGAAAACAGTTGACACGAAGGTTAAAAGGATTTTACGTCGGTCTACCGCACTTTACAATTTACCACTCTCTTGCAAAATCATGATATTTGTTAAGGTACATGTTTTGTAGTCCTTTCCGACTGATTTATTCATTTTTTTCTTGTGATGAGTTTTAACACCATCGTCCTATGTTTATTCGAAGGTTACGCAGTCACAAACACGTTGAAACTCGCCTCAATCTTTTCACTGAGCCAGCAGCTTATAGATCAGTAGTTGTCCTTGTTTTATCTTTTTAAGTTGATTAAAAACTTACATTGGCAGTACTTTCCATGGTATCCAGGTTGGCAGCGACAGCTATAGTCTTTCACAGAGTTGATACATACGGCACCATTTATACACTGATTATTGTCACATGGTGTTTCTATACACACACAAAAAAATGCACTATAATTCGTATACTAGTAATGTGATTCTCAGATGGAAAATTATATGCTATACGGATAAATTTAATTGTTACATTTTTAAAAAAGCGCGTATTCGATTTAGAGAGATTTTCCGAAAATAAATATAATTTACTCGATAATCATGTTCGAATTGATATTTTTCCATCGTATAGATGCAGAAATGTGTTTTTATGCATTACAAAATTATTGCGACAATAATAGAATAGAGAATAGAAACGGAACTGTTTCAAAGAGACAACAAATTAACTAGTTTAAAACACAAAATGAAGAGGAAAAAAAGCAAGATTTTCATCTTTATAGATTGGTTTCATAAACACATGAAATTAACATTAACTATGTTGCAACTGATAAAAATAGGTGTTTACAAACGACATTAGAATATATGTTATAAAGAAGGGCGCAATATCAAAAGGGAGGAGGAAATATATCATGGATTGAAGAAAAACAGGCAACACAACGGCTTTGTAATTTAAAAAATAAAACAGGCAACACCACCACTATAAAAAGAAAATAACAGGCAACACCGCGACTATAAAAAGAAAGAAAAGCATTCATGTGGTGTGTTCTGGAAAACATAAGGCATGTTCCCAAAAAAAAAGCATTGGGTTTGTTTGGATAAAATATCAGGTATATCAGAGAAAAAAGTTGGGAAGCTGGTTAACTTAAAAAAGGGTCTAAATAGATAAATTCTTTTTTTATAATGATTTTCTTTTTTATTTGCACATGAACATAATAGTAAGTTATATACATTTTATACATAATATAATATATAGACAGAAGATATACAACATATTGCATAGACACAGCTAAAATAATTTGATTCCTTGATGAATATGATTGCAAGACAAATATATAAAAGAAGATGTGGTGTGATTGCTAATGGGACAACTTTTCGCAAGAGATCAAATGACACAGAAATTAACAACTATAGGTCAACGTTCGACCTTCAAAAATGAGGAAAGCCCATACCGCATAATCAGCTATAAAAGGCCCCGAAATGATAAATTTCAAAAAATTCAAACGAAGAAACTAACGGCCTAATTTATGTACAAAAAAAAATGAACGAAAAACAAATATGTAACACAGCAACAAAGGACAACCACTGAATTACAGGCTCCTGACTTGGGATAGGCACATACATACAGAATGTGGCGGGGTTAAACATGTTAGCGCGATCCCAACCCTCCCCTAAACTAGGACAGTGGTGTAACAGTACAACATAAGAACGAACTATAAAAATCAGTTGAAAAAGGCTTAACTCATCAGATGGATACAAATAGAAATACAACTAACAAAAACACAGAGTGGACGTGGCCGGGTACTTGTACATCCCAACAACAAAAAGACACTCCTTACAGATCTGAGAGTACTCGCAGTTACTGACAGCTAGTTCGAAGCCCCTAACAACTAATAAAAAAACATCCATCTTAGACCTAGCTGCTTGGACAGAGAATACATATTTTTAATTTTTTTTTATGATATATGGTGTCTGATATTTATCTTAGTTTTTACGACGATAAAGGAGTCCAGGGGTTCCAGCAGTTCTCTGCCCTACTGAGTCTTTTATTTAAAAAATTCTATTAATAAGTTTTCTTTTAAATATTTTTAGTGCTAATGATAATTTTCTTCTATAAATATAAAATTTTGTCAACAGAATTATTAATTTTCTTATGTCATTTTTATCGGTTTTCGTTTTGTTAATAACAAATAAAACCAAATCTACATTTAAAGATAGTTCTATTCCTATCTTCTCAAATATCCAGGAGATAAATTTATTGTAAATTCGAATTTATTATTGAAGGACTTCGTTTTTTGTTCTGATAAGTGTTTTGCCTTCAAATTCAACAACATTGTTATCTTTCCTGTTACTTAAACTAAGTAACACCATCGTAAATCAGATGTTTTCTCTTACGTAGTGTTTATAAACATATATATATATAAGTACGTCTAAACAAGTGACAACCCTACGTCGGATCCATCCATTGGATCACCAGTGAAGGTGATTCATGGCTGAAAACAAATATTATATTCATAATTACTCTAAATATCCGCACAACAATGCTAAATCTGCAAATTTGCGGAAGCAAATTTTTTGTTCTTCCCTCGCCGTGATTCGCACTTATGCTATTGGGATATCGTGACAACACCGGTACCGTATGCACTGTGTCCAGCGCTCGAGACGACTCGGTCACCTAGACTGAACTTATAATTCAGCTTTCGGTGGCTTGGTATTACATTTCCTCGTCAGTAGAATCTAGAGTTGTAACACAGTAAATGATATATTAGGCATGAATACGGAATTGATTGCATATTAGTAAAGGATCGTAAGATACAGTCACAGAAGTAAGTATTTTGATAAGTATGTCTAAACAAGTGACAACTCTACGACAGATCCATCGATTGGATCACCAGTGAAGGTGCTACACGGCTGAAAACACAGATTATATTCATAACTACTCTAAATATCAGCACGACAATGTTAAATCTGCAAATTTGCGGAAGCAAATTTTTGTTCTTCCCTCGCCGAGGTTATATATATAATTGCAAAAGTGATCTATAAAAATTTTAGAATTACAGTGAATCTCGTAATAACGCTTACCAAATTGTACACAAATGTTTAGGTTTCCATAGCCAACAATACATCTAGTTTTGGGTGGACAAGTGTTTGGCCAGCAAGCATCTTCATCCTGTCGAATGTACATGATCAGATTACAGTATACATGTACATGTATTTCATGGTATTAAAACAAAATCCATTAAAAATAACATTCAATGATTAAAGATCAACTAATTAGATTGATGGGTTACTACTTGGTTTATTTATTAAAAGAAGAACTTCAATTGTTGTTCTGATAAGTGCTGTGCCTTCAGATTAAAGAATATTGTTTTCTTTCCTGTAAGTAAAACTATAGTTATCAAAGGTACCAGGCTTATAATTTGATACGCCAGACTCATCAGTGACGCTCAGATCAAAATAGTTAGAAAGCTAAACAAGTATAAAGTTAAAGAGCATTGAGGACCCAAAATTCCAAAAAGTTATGCCAAATACGGCTAAAGTAATCTATGCCTGGGATAAGAAAATCCTTAGTATTTCGAATAATTCATACTTCTGCAAACAGTAAATTTATAAAAATGACCATATAATTGATATTCATGTCAACACCGAAGTGCCGACTACTGGGCTATCTTCATCGATACCAAAATGACCTTTAAATTATTTATCAATGATAAATAAAATCGCAATCAGATTAATTGTTAGTTATGATTATCTTTAATCTCAAAATTGCAAATTCTTTTGAGAAGATGGATGTCAAAAGAAATTTAGAAATTATGCAGCTTCTCTGCAACGTTCTTGACTTTTATGGCATAGGGTAATAGTCAGCTTCATTTAAAATGATGTGTGGTGTGTCATCTCTTTCCGCGGATTGTTACCTTTAAAACTAGCATATAAAAAAAAATCCGATAAGCATGTTAGTCGTCGTCGTCGCCATCGTCGTCGACATTATCGTCATCGTCGTCATCTTTGTCATCAATACATAAGGTCACAATATATAATCTTTTATTGCCAATATGACCTTTTGATTATTTAACAATGATAAATAAAAGTGAAATAAGATTAATTATTATAATGATTTTCTTTCAATCTCTAAATTATAAAATATTTTGAGAAGATGTCAAAACTAAACTTTTTTTTAATTTTTTTTAAATTTAGAAATTAGATATTGATGTAAAATCTTTTCTATTTCTGCTGATGAAAAGAAGATTTTAATATAGCAAATGTGCTGGCACCTAATGACACATACAATCAAACGAAATATTTACAATTTTTATGAATCCCGCGTAATTTTACAAGGTTAACATGTGGTATGGACATTTGAAAATTTTGAATTGACCTCTAAATGACGTGATTTTATTGTTTGGTTGATGTCCCATTGATTTAACTTACCGTTTTCCAGTCAGAGATATTAGTGAAATACGCCCCATTGCTGTTTATTATTTCATCATCACTGTAGGCAACATCTAATAGTTCGCAATAAGATCTGGTCATGTCAAAATTGACTGCGTTACAATCCGTATACATCATGCATTCTTGGACGCATCCTTTCGGCCCGGTCATATCACTTGCCTTTACCACAAACGATTCCATGACTTTATTCTTTTGGTAAAAACCGCCGGTCACATTCATAACTTTTGCCATTAAAGCCGACTCGAAATTTAGCAATAAGGAAAAACTAAATAATAAAAGTTTCAAAGTCATTGCCATTTTATTAAACACTTACTATGTGCAGGTTGGCAACTGTGCGTCGCCAACTAAAATACTCGATTGATAGCTTCAAATCAGATCTTATTGAAAACTATAGCCTAAAAAAAGTTTCAATTAGTTGCGACACGTGGTCCTAAAACTTGACGCGTAGTATATATCATTAAGCCACCTCGTGAAATTTTAATAAGCTAAAAGCTTGCATTAATCCCTGGTTAAACAATATGTGTAAATGTTTGTTTTGCTTTTGAAACCAGTAGATTCACTTTTATTTTCAATAACTTTTTTTGTCACTTCCTGTATTTAGTTGATGTTAATATTCGAGTGCCTATTTTGTTGTTAACATTTAAGAAAATTATCAATTAAATCGTTTATAAATGTAAATCAATGCCGATCCTATTTAATTTCAGTTTTAGATAATGAAATAGCAATTTCAAAAAGAAAATCCGTCAAAAAGATTATTTCATAAGCATGGTTTTAAAACCGCTTCCGTTTCCTGTTTATAGAATTTTGAGATCAAAATAAAAACAAAGCTTCATTTGAAGTGTAAAACTAATAAAGCGTGCATTAAATTTAATCTGAAGTACATACACTATAGTTTAGAATATATGGTTGATTTCACTTTTTTGTTGTTGTTATCGTTACTTTTCAATAGTATTGATTACTATGTTCGTCCCAATTGCGTACTGCCATATAACTGTGTTATTAATAAAATATTGGTCTTATTCCACATGTTCCAGAAAAGTTTGTGAGATAAACTCGGAAATGATATATGAAGGTCTGGATGTGTGTTACAAAATAGAGAGTAATGTACCAATACTACAGAAAAATATGCCAATTCAAGACTCTCATATGTAACTCACACATATTTAGTCTACTGGTACTTCTCCAAAGGATAAAAACGGGGGGAAATCAAATATTTAACTAAACAATGAAAACAATTTTGGGATGATTTATTTTCAAACGAAATGCGATGAAATATGCAAGGATTTAATTTAGCATCTTGATACCTTTGCATTATCAACTTTATATTCTACACTGATGGTACATGTAATTACTTGTAGAATAACGTATTGCTCCAGATAATGCTTTTAATATTCCCTTGAACTATTGTTTATTTCAAAAACAGGCTATGTATAAACCGACCTATACCTTAAGACATGTTTTTGCATATGAGGTTTGTGTAAATTTGTTATTAATTCCGTAAAATCTGTTGCGAGTCACTTTTGAAGTCTAGATTCGTATGACGGAATCAAAACATCGTTTTCTAGATGTCATTTTAGTTATTTGCGTCGTTGAATTACAGTCTCATTGACGAGCGCATAATAGGTTAATATTTGCGGAATAATTACAGTTATTATATTAATGATCGTATATTATAGGTTGCACTTTGTTAATACAGCTATTTCACAAACCATGCCTCTTATGTATAATGTTCATAGATATTTTCTTTAGATTACGTACTGGATACCAGCTAAGATCTCATAAAGACGTAACTTGGAAATGTTACCAGTATATATATGCACAGGATGCGGCGAATTTTGACTTATCAGAAAAACGTTAAGTATAGGAAGGGTAGTACAGAGCTTAAGTATAAGTTTAAAATCGGGGCATATAAATGTTAAAAATATGCCGCCGCACAGCCCTATGATTTGACCTTTGAATAAAATAGTAGTGCATATATTTTTCAGTCTAAGTTTTCATTTTTTTTCGAAACTTCATAAAAAAAGTGGCACAGCTTTAGCCGTAAATGAACGATTTTACGACAAAAGGAACGATTTTTCGTTCCCTAATGTTAATTTTCCCTTTTTGGATGGCGATGTTCCTTTGGCACCATCTTACAGTGTGTATATTCCACAAGTCGACCGCTATGTCCGTGTCTGTTGTGACGTTTTATATTTTAATGAACGAAATCTATGTATTACTGGTAAATGATTAAGCCAGGGATTTCGTTACCACAAATTACTTAAAATCTTTACTAAATTATCCCATAGATATAAAGTTTTGGTGTTGAAGTTTGGTTGTACCTGTAAAAAACTTATTTCAACCGGGATAGCACATCCTCATTTTTACGGAGATGTTGTTTACCGTGCCACGGAAATTTAGAAACCTTAAACTTATCGATCCTTTAACATGTTTAAATAATAATAAAATTTTACCAATAAAAAAAACACTGTAATTAGATCTTTGAAAATTGTTTTTATTGGTATTAATATTGATTTTGTTATCAGAAATTAAAAGCAAACTAAATATTATTCTTATATTCATATACACATTCCTGGATCTACAATCTGTCGATACATGTATCTTAGCATTGCACAAAGTCATGTTTTTCTCTGACTGTTTATGACGTCTTTATACTAAATCCATTGGATATTGAATGTGTACTAATTGATAGTTTAGTCTTAGATGTATCATTTTTTTTATTAGTTGTTAGTGGTTTTGAACTAGCTGTTAGTAACTGCTAGTATCCTCATATCTGTACTTAGTGTATTTTTGTTGTTGGGATATAAAAATACCCGGCCACGTCCACTCAGTGTTTTTGTTTGATGTTTTTCTATTTGCATCCATCAGATGAGTTAAGCCTTTTTCAACTGATTTTTATAGTTCGTTCTTATGTTGTACTGTTACACCACTGTCCCAGGTTAGGGGAGGGTTGGGATACCACTAAAATGTTTAACTCCGCCATATTTGTATGTATGTGCCTGTCCCTTGTAAGGAACCTGTAATTCAGTGGTTGTCGAATTTGTTACATTAATTAGGCCGTTGGTGTTTTCGTGTGAACTGTTTTACATTTGTGATTTTGGGACCTTTTATCGCTGAATATGTGATATGGGCTTTGCGCATTGTTGAAGGTCGTACCGTGACCTATAGCTGTAAATTTCTGTGTCATTTGGTCCCTTGTAAAGAGTTGTCGTGTACCACATCTTCTTTTTATATGATTGATATCTATCTTATTCAACAGTGGGAAAGCCATGCATATATACGAGCAAACTAATAAAGTCTATGACATTGTTTACTGATTTTTTTTTTCATGTAAAACATGACACATTGTGGTATTTCAAACTTTAAAAATGTATAAAAATAAAGTTACAATTTTGAGGCAAAAATGATACATGGTACACATCAGGTATATACAATTAATATATGTTGTTGATAAATAAAATAATGTGTTTGTACTTAAAAACAACTTGATTTCTAATTTTATTTTTCCGGTGAGTACTCGGAGATTGTAGACCTATTGGCAACAACTAAATACACATATATAATTTGACATGTTCAAACAGACATTCAATATATGTAGTTGATGTTTTTCTGAAATTCCGCAGCGGTACACTTCTTTTAATTTTATTATTCATCCCTTTTTTTTAAACTTTGTACCCACATTGTATCATAGATCAAATTTATTCGTTCAGTGTACGTTCATTTGTGTTACTACGTCTTTTGATTGAGTTAAGCCATTGCAATTGATATTTTATAGTGTGTCTTTCTATGTTGTGATGTTACTCTATTGTTTAAGATAAGGGTGTAGGTTTAGTACCATTAAAACGTTTAAACCCACTGCAATTGTTTGCACCTGTCCCTAGTCAAGAATCTGATGTTCAGTAGTTGTTTGTTGATGTGGTTCATAAGTGTTTCTCGTTTCTTTTTCTTTTTTTGTATAGATTAGACCGTTGGTTTTCCCGTTTGAATGGTTTTACACTAGTAATTTTTGGGGCCCTTTATAGCTTGCTATTCGGTGTGAGCCAAGGCTTCGTGTTGAAGACCGTACATTGACTTATAATGGTTTACTTTTATAAATTTTGACTTGGATGGAGAGTTGTCTCATTGGCACTCATACCACATCTTCCTATATCTATGTAATCTGGTCCGCAAACATAGACATCGTTCTTTGCAAAAAAAGTCCCTCCTGTGGACAATGTATTAGTTGCAATTTTTTTCATACCCCTTCCAAATGTAAAACCCGTTTAACATAACATTGTCCATATTTTGAGTTAGAGCTGATGAAGTTTTCTATAATTTTGATATAATTTGTCCTAAAATCAGTACATCACACTGTTAAAATATTATTGAGAAAGCGCAGGTGGTATTTGTTTAATTTTCATTTATTGTCTTGAAGAAATGCACAACGGAATATCTGTGTTATCAGGCCGTCTATGATCATTTATATCTGGTAATAAATAAACACCGCATATCATAATTTTCCTGCGTCCAATGCTTTTAACTAGATTTACCTTCATCAGGAATTGGCAAAGTCGAATATTTAAAAGCTAAGGATGTACAAGAACCAAAACTGTTAAAGAGCTATCCTACCAAAAAAAAAAACCAAATCTATCTAAGGTAAACTTTGCCTGATCGAGTTAAAATCTTAGGTATACGTAGTTTCTAACAATTTAACAATGAAGAAAAATATATAGAAAAAAAATGAAAATATTAAATAAAACGAAGACCAGTAATTCAACATTAATTAAATTTGGTCCAGCAGTCTCAGAAGAAAAGACGTTTTGTAAGATATTAATCAAAAACGCAAAAATGATAAAATCGTTATAATAGGACAATAACTCCAATAATGAAGTCGGACGATTTTGGCCTTGTTGACTTTTTGTACATCTTGTCTTTCTTATCATTTTTCCTTCGTATCTCTATTTATAATGATTTTCCAAAACAAATTCCAAAAGGAAATAAATTGCTATCATTTGACATTTAAGAAAAATAACTCCTATAAGAAGGCGTTTGACAGTTTTGGCGTAAATAGAAAGCAGGTTGTTCTGATCAGTGTAAACATTTCTGCTTTGAGAGATTTTCTATACTCATAATAGTTTGAAGATAGTAGACACAACTTGCATCCCCCGACCCTTATGTTATATTTTTATAAGGGGGGAGGGGGTCAAGGGGTTTAACTGTTATGCTGTTTTGGGGCAATTTAATTCTTTGTTATCTGTTATTCTGAAAATATATTTGCTGTTAGCTTATTGTCTTATTCCTTGTTAGCTGCTATTAGTTTTTTGTTATCTGTTATCGTGAGAATGTATTTGCTGTTAACTGTTATTGAAAATTGGAATGTTGGCATTTTGACAGCCAATCTTCGGTAGAAATTGAATTGGGATCTTTCCACTAGTAACATGGTGGTCCCGTATTCGGAGAAGGATTCAATTAACATATAGACATTTGAATGGGTTTACAGTACACTAGTCATTTTTGGGGCCCTTTATGGCTTGCTGTTCGGTGTTGGCCAAGGCTCCGTGTTGAAGACCGTACTTTGACCTATATTAATGGTTTACTTTAACAAATTGTGACTTGGACGGAGAGTTGTCTCATTGGCACTCATACCACATCTTCTTATATTTAATCACAGATCATCACATAAACATTTTAATATTAGTTGGGTCCAGGACCATTACAGTATATATTATTATTATCCTTTGTAATAAATTCCTTTTTCTAAGAACATGTATTTAGAATTATCTTGATTTTTACGTATAGGGATAACGATCCTTGTTTCCCTGTATGTGCATATTAAATTCGAACAATTCTTTTAAAATATTACAAAAATTCGTAAGGGTTCCGCGGAACCCAGTACTAGTGTCTCGCCTACTTTTGATGTTAGTTGCAGGTTCAACAAAATAGGTAAAAAGTTATTAAATATATGGGGAATATGTCCATGGGACACAGATGATGCCCCCGCTTGCATGTCATATACAGTTATAAAGGAACATAACTGAAGAACAGTAAAAGTGACCCTAACCAAATTTGTACTTGATCTGAGTTTTGTGGTAATACGTATTGTGTATAAGTTTCATAAAATTGGTTGATGCAAACTTAATTTACTCGGAGAACGGAAACGAAAAATTCAGCAATTTTTCCATTTGTAAAGAGGCATAACCCTAGAAAATTTAGTGACAACCCCAAAATTCAAACTTGATCTGTATTTTGACGTAATAAGCATTGTGTATAAGTGTCATTGCATTTGGTTGAGGCAAACTAAAGTTAGAGAACGGAAACTAAAAAATTCAGCATTTTTTTCATTTGTAAAAGGGCATAACTCTAGAACGGTTTAAGTGACGCCCCCAAAATTCAAACTTGATCCGTGTTTTGTGGTAATAAGCATTGTGTATAAGTTTCATAACATTTGGTTGAGGCAAACTGAAGTTAGAGAACGGAAACCAGCTTTGGGACATACGGACGGACGTATGTACAGACGGACAAGGGTAAAACTTAATGCCCCCTCCGCAACGGCGGGGACATACAAATTTCCTCTAGATACTATCTTTTGATTGTAAGAAGCTTCTGTCCAAGTTTGGTAAAAATCCAGGATGGTTTATGAATCTAATTAATGTTTTAAAAACTTTAACTGCAGACTTTATGGAATGTTAACTGAAAGAAAAACTTATTAAAGTCAATTTATACAATCATGTTATAAGTAAAATATGGAAATACAAGAAATAAATTTTTACAAATTTTCCTTCTAGATACAAGCTTTTGATCATAAACAAGCTTTGGTCCAAGATTGGTAAAAATCCAGGATAGTTTAAGAAAGTTATTAAAATTTCAAAAACTTTAACCACAGAGTGAATATTTGTGGACGCCGCCGACAATGACGCCGACGGAATGTAGGATCTCTATGTCTCGCTTTTTCGACTAAAGTCGAAGGCTCGACAAAAATCAAAAGGTAGCTCATGTCGATAGAAATAAACAATTCACCAAAGTTTCTTGCAAATTGGTGAAACTGTTTTTGAGTTATTGTCCGAAAACTATTTTTTTTAAATTTATCCACAGAGTAAATGTAATGTAAACTGGCAGAAAAACTAAGTCCATTTATAAGTAAAATACGGATAAATAGGATTATTTTTTTTTACAAAATTAACTTCTGGATACTATTTTATGATCATAAACAAGCTTCTGTCCAAGTTTGGCAGAAATCCAGGATATTTTAAGAAAGTTATTCAAATTTTAAAAACATTAACCACAGAGTGAATATTTGTGGATGCCCCTGACGACGACGCCGCCGTCGGAATGTGTGATCACTTTATATGTCGTTTGCGACAAAAGTCGCAGACTCGACAAAATAGAAAACATATGGCCAGGGATACCTGATGAGGATGGCATTTAAGTCCTAGTTCCATACGACCAGTTAACCTAAACACCTTTTATATAATAAGGAACACAGACTCAGCTCTGTGATTCTTTTCTAAGAATACACTCACTATTTAAATTACAAGCATGTGTGAGCTTCATTAAAAGTACAAAAATAAATGCTGAGAAAAGTATTCCATAACAAAAAATATCATACATTGAGTAAACCAATTCTATATATATAACTCTAAAAACATGTTCATAGAAAATGGAATTCATTACAAAGGATTATAATAAGATATATACTGGATTTGTCCTGGACCCGACTGATTTTAATTTTTCAATTACTGTTATCTGTGTTTTTATCCCTTTTCAATTCCTTGTCATCAGTTATAAGCCAAATCAATTTGCTGTTTTGCTGTTATTGGAACTCCCTTGCCCCCCCTTCCCCCCCTTCGTTGGTGTATCTTGCTAGGAAATTAATTAAAATCTATTAATGTATTTTTTTATCGTGAAACGGTAGATTTTCTGTATTGTTTTTGCACCATAAAATCATAATGGCTGTCTTTTGAACGTGTGTTATAGGTCCGCCCCGCTTCGAAGTACAACAATTTAAGATTTTCCTATTAGAATCGACATAATTCTATCATGTCATGCTCTATGTTTATTTCAACTTGGATGATTTACTTATCAAGATTTATTAAGGAAATAAATCTTTCATGTCATTCTCTACATGTCATTCTATATGCCCATTCTAACATGGGTATGCATTATTGTTATCAGTATCTTTATACCGAGCGTTGGCAAATTAGATCTTCTTTTCTAAATCATGTGTCACTTTTTAACAAATTCTACTAAACTGTACCACAATCTTTACAAAGAAAATTAATTTTAAACAGCATATTATTCTTCACGTTCTATAAATGAAAAGATATTTTCTCAAAATTGGTAATTATACTAATTTTATTATTTTTTGTCATCTGTAATCTATTCATATACACAATAGATTTTTATACACCATCTATATATCAATTTGCATTGAAAGATATTCCTTTAAGTGTATTAATTTATCTAGTTTTTTTTGTCACAAACCATATCAGATGGCAGGAACATATTGAACTGAACTGAATGTGTCTCTTCCCTTATACAATTCAATTTTATTCAATTCAACAGTATTAATGTATACGTTACAGGTTTTAACTGTATCCTTCAATAGATATAGTGTACACTGTTCCTTTCAATGAGTTTTACTATCTTCATCTCGCAGAGCTTTTCAAATTGTACATGTTGTATGTGAACATAAACGGGATCATTTTTTTTATTTGATTGATACACGTTTAAGAATATTATGAATGCCAAGGAAGAAATGAAGGGAATATAGCTATTTGAAGGTGTTCAGGGAAACAGTGGAAACCGTATTATTTTACAGTTATTAAACTGTATAGTTTTGTTTGCAAAACAGCAGTGTTTTAAAATGCCAAATACAAGCGTAGTATCAAGTATTTTATCTGTGGATATCTGTTAGATTGATTAATGAATTTTATAGACTCGACGCGATCTAAAGTTAGTCATGTTATACAAATGAAAATTTTGTTAAATTTTTCAATCCTTATAGAATTGTAAAAAAATATCCACTTCCCAAATATAAGTACCATCAAATCTTGATACGTGTTTGATCGGCTACACAATAGACTAATATTTAAAAAAAAGCTTCCAGGAAATTGAAAGTTCGTTAGTTTTGACTATGCTGATGAATGTCTCCCACAACTTAGATAAGGTCTAATGCAGTTTCACATTCCGCTCCAGATTGCATCTCATATCCGGTGACCTTAAGTTCTGTGTGACCAAATACAAATTCGACATCCAGATCACGAAAATATCTTGACGGATTAGGTATAGCTAAGCGTAACGTTGCAATATGTGTACAACTGTCTTCATCTGTGTATTTTGGAGATTGTTGTATGGTTTGAAAGACTGGGAAGGATACGAAGCTCTGGAACTCTCTTACAGTGGAAAATTCTTTCCTAATCTTTGATCCTAACTTTACTTCTGAATCACTCCTAACGAAAATGTCAAAAGCATCAATACATCTTGAGATTCCATGAGTGTCAACTTGTCGTGCAGGTTCATGGATTACTGAAATGAAACGGGGTCTATATTGGACACCATATGTGTACCTGGCAATTCGCGATACAATCTGCTCGGGTCTATGACCAAACAGCACTGCCCCCTTTAACACTGCTAATCCAGCTTCTTCCGGTACTATCACTCTCATTTTTGGAAACTTTGCTTTTATTTCATCTTGGATTATCTTACAGTCAGAAAATCCACCGACTAATAGAATCACTGATACAAAACCTGCATTTTTATCATTCAATGCCTCGTCGATTCGCTGTATTATTTTTTGAGATGCTTCTTTAAATAGATTTTTTATTAAATCTGTTTCAATTCTTAGTTTGTCATATCGTACTTTCATTCTATCTTTGTATGGCGAAGCTTCGATAACAGCTGCAAAGTCTTCATGCAAATGCGTTTTACAAATATCATCGAGAATTGCTCTAGGGATTGCCATAGTAACCTTATCCTGATTTGTTTTATCAACGGTTCTTTTGATAGCTTCAAGTTCTCTAAAAATATCTAAATGCGCAGATGGGTCTTCTCGTTTCATAATATTCAAGAGAGGGGCTCCTAGAAGTTTGATGAAGATCTGGTAGAACGAGTTGTCTACTGAAATACCACCACAATCTCCTCCTGAAGCTCTACAAATTTCCTTCAGGTTACCTTTGCTTAATTTCTGATGAATTGTGATGTCAGCCGTTCCACCTAAAATGAAGTTATATATGATTGTAATGTGATGCTCTTCGAACGGTTCAAATGATGTCATTCAACGTTCAATAGACAACCAACAATATTAAAAAAAAACATAAACAATTAAAGACTGACCAACACCAACCCCGCCAAAAACCGGGGTGATGAAGGGTTAGTAATTATACAAACAGAAACGAAGTAAGACAAAAATATTTGTGATTTTCATATACAAATACTTGTTGAAAGCAAAACACCAATCTTCTTGATTGACGGTGCTTTTTTGATGTAACAAGCACCAAATTCGTTTCCGACACACATAATAAACACATTTTCATAATTGTGTGCTATTATTACTTGTAATTGGAAAAAAAAATTGCCACTAATTCACTTATTACGTCTTTTTCTTCAAAATTCATGATGTGTTCAATTACGGAAAAAGCACATATTTTTCTTCGATCCCAAAGAATTACCGTCTTTGTTTTATTCACATAACTTTATTGCAGAAAGAAAAGCCTGACAGGTCAAAATGCAAACATAATATACACAAGTGACAAGAAAAATACAATACATGAAAAAAGTATTAACTAAGTCAAGTTAATATCAAAAATATATATACAAGTATATAAACAAGTATCAATTGAAAACAACGTTCAAACCTATGATTGCGTTGGATAAAGACCGCAATTTTTATACGTGTGCATGTAAAACATATTTCAACAAACAACATTTTCCAAAAGACCAAAAAAGTGAAAAAGTATATTTTAACAAAACGCATTTGACTAACAGGTTGAACAACTGATGTTCTTAAACCCTGCTGACTGCCATTGACGATTGCCAAATAAATATTGATCACAAGATGTAACAAAATGGATTTTTATATTAATATAATACAAAACAGAAAACAATAAACTTGTGGCAAAGATGGTAAACCACATACATGAGGTGAACAATTTTTTTTTACACCATATCCGAATTTCGACAATAAATGTCTCTTCAGTGATGTTTTTTGATCGAAACAGTATTTGGAAGGCCATATGATTTACCTCAATTTAGGATAGACTCTTGAATTTTAAAGAGTCGAAATAGGATGAACGGATTTACACTTATTCAAATTCTGAAATACAATTAATTTGCATATATAGTTTTTTTTTTTAAATAGAAGAAGTAAAATATGAGACCTAGTCTTTCTCGATCTTATTTATTCAGAAGTTCATTATTATAAACCATTTAAATAACTATCCATTGGTTTAGGCTTTTTGTATATACAAGTATATATATATATAGATAATTGACCAATATGGACATTTTTTTGCAATTCAATCAGTTGGAAAGCAAGCCCTTAGAAACGACCGTTTTTGCTACATTTCTTAAGACAACAATGGAACTGATCTTAAAGCCCGCCATTTTGAAATTGCGTTAATTTCGCAGAAAAATAATTTGGCGGCAATTTGGAAAATTTCTTTTTTCTGGTTCTTACTTGCCATTTGGGTCAGAAATAGATTTTTTTCTATCTTTTAAGCATGGGTCTTATTTATATTAAAGAAAATAATACCTAAATTGGTGGTCTTTTAACAATTACGTTAATAAATTATGCGAAATTGTAATTTGTTCTTCTTTTTTCACAGATAAACAAAGCTTATATATAACAAATTTATATTATAATACGTATCTCAAGTTTAAAAAAAAATCAAGTCTAACGTTCTGTTACCCCTTAGGAAACCCCATTTGAACTAAATTCCAAAAGAAAGACATTTTTTGACAGTGTAGTTTTTGGTCTTACACATCGATGTCAACATGCATCTGAACATTATGTATACACACATTCTTTATAGTGTGTTTGTTTGAAAAAAACAATGGCGAGTTCAGCTGTGAATTTGACTGGATTGATAACTATTGACGTTAACTAAAACAATAAGGTTAGGAAATGTTATACTGTCTGTGGGTGAGTGTGCACAACCTTAAGATGACTAAAGAAACTCATTCATTGTATATCATTTCTTTTGTGATGAAAGAATTTTGCAAAAGTAAATGCAAAAGTCTTGTCCTTTGAACTTAAAACAATTTCTTTCAGACTTGCGTTTTAATCACTCTTATTCAAAGCATGTTCTAGTGGCGGATCCAGAATTTTTTATAAGTGGGGGCCCACTGGCTGCCTAAGAGGGGCCCGCTCTCGTCACACTTCAGTGATTCCCCATATAACTAACCAATTTTTTTCTCAAAAGGGGGGCCTTGGGCCCCCTAGCCCCCCCCCCCCCTAAATCCGCCTCTGTGTTCATACTTACACGAAGTGTGACTTACTTATCACTTGTGATCTAAAACTAAAACATAATTGTTGATCTAGCACTCAGCTGAGCAGTGGCATTCAGAACTGCTCTGAAATACTTTTAATATGCATTATAGTTTTTTTTCAAATAGAAGAAGTAAAATATGATACATAGTCTTTCTCGTTCTTATTTATTCAGAAGTTCATTATTATAAACCATTTAAATAACTATCCATCGGTTTTTGTTTTTTTTATAATTTGAGTCCATATTCATTAGAACTTGCATGTAATCAATGAGACAAAATTTATTGTCATATTTAGTTTAATCATACAAGGGTTGCAAACCAATTTCTTTTTATTTCAAATTATGAAGAATTTACATTGCGAATACTTTGATTATTATCGCTTTTAAATGTAAATGAAAAAGGTAGGATCAGGTATCAATATATTGAAAAGAATTTCTGTTTGTGATAATTTAAACCCTGACTAGGTCCAGTATTTATACATATTTTAGCTACCCCTTTCTCTTTAAGTAGTAGAAATTTATTTCTATGTTGACATAATTTAGTTACAGCAGTAAACATATTCACCAAAATATAAATATTAAAGTTATATCAAAGCCCTATTTCAGTTCTGAAATTGTTGTAAAAGTGATAAAATGTGTTTACCTGATTGTTTTACATGTGTCTTTAGTATCAAAATATATTTAGTAAAATTATTTTAATAATATCCACTTGTAACTAAAGCAAAGGGTGCTAAATATAATAATAATATATATGATAGTACCAATAAGTTTTTTAAGTTGATTCTCGGCTGACTACTACACTTTGTTTGAGTGTAGAGTAATACAAAACACCATCTGATTCAACTTGTCAATATTCTGATTTGTCAAATATGGAGAGTTAGCAAGATTCTGCTTAATAACACCTCCTTAAAATTTAGACAACTGATTTTTCTCCACATCTTAAACGAATTTGACAGCTGTTGATACAAAGTGTATCCTTAGGTATATGCAGCTATTTTGTAAGAAGTGCAAGATGACAAATGTAAATATACAAATTTTTTAGTCTATAGGAAAACATGAAGATTTCGGTCCCTTTTTGGCAAAATAAAATCACATTGGGTACTTGCTTCCACATGCTGAATATACTATTTTATTCAAATAGGACTAGCAACATATGAAATAAGCCAGAGAAAACATTTCAACAATAATTTATTTAGCATGTTCAAAAACAAAATAATTGAGAATAAGCATATACATATGAACGGTATAACTTTTTATTCGAACTTTTAAATTATGATTAATTTTTGATGAAATTCTTTTTGTCCAAGTCATCTGTATGAATAACAACTGCATATGTGACACCAAAGTAATGACTGAATTCAGTCATCTTGTCTATTTATATATCAAACATGCACTGGAACTTCCATCTTAATTAAATGAAATACCTTTGCAATATTCAATGGATAATACGTTTAAAATTAGAGATTGGTAGTAGTTGGGTGTGTGTAATACCCCACACCACAATTAAATGCTCTAAGGGGTACAGTTTTGAAAGTAGTACATTGGAAAACTGTTGACTGAATTCAGTCAATTTACAAACATCAAGAATTATATTCTTTTTTCAAAAATAGATTTTAGTATAGATAATTTATTCCAAATTGGTTTTAAATACACATATTAATGTTAACAATAATGAAAATCTTGACTGAATTCAGTCACCGGTACCATAATTCAAAAGGTACATGGGTTTGTACAGTAGAAATATCTATACAATATACAAAACAAATTTTAAATTTAAGTCTATGACTGAATTCAGTCACATATATTTATATATACTAATATCAAAATTCAATAATTGTGTGTAGTAGTTCCTATTTGCAATAAAGTTTGTATGTAATTTAAGCTTCCACTCTTTCGACCTGTCACTCAGGAATATTACAATTAAACATCCTACAATGTCTTGATAGGATGTATACACCAAAATGAATAAATAAAAACACTAAACTGTAAACAAACAACTATCTACCGCCATGCAACTAAATCTCCATCTCTAATTCCAAGAGTATCTACTTCTACATAGTCAGTTTCGCTGATGCAGGTTTGGTTGGTCATGTTAATTGGATCTATTTTCCTATGCAGAAGTGGTCGAGTACTTCTACAGGTATCTGTGAAAACAGAATGAATTGAGACGTTAAAAACATTTGCTGGGCCATTATGTTTATCTTCCCTGCCAAATTTCCAGTATGGCATGCTGGTAGTGCTTCGTACATTATGGTATCTTCCATGGTTTTAGCCACGTCATAGATTTTCAATAATTTATCTTGTGGTAAACCGGTAAACAGATGGTCAAGATTCCTATTGACTGTTTCAGGATGCCTTGCTACTTCTTCAAGCGGTGTAAGGTTGGCATATAGTTTTATCTTCTGGTATAACTCTAATGCTAATTAATAGAAGGCATATTCTATCAGCAACATGTTCATTTTAGAAACATAACGGTATAGACAATTCCATTACCAGTAGCTTTGATAGCAAAACAGTTAGCTATGGCTGGGTCCAGATCGGTTGGTAGCAATGCTTGTGATGAACTGTCTTTTTCATAATGATCAAGAGGGCAGTTTTTATAAAACCCTGTAACTGTGATTTCTTTAATTTTTTCCACTCTTATTTTCTGGACCTCTATATCATTATTATCCTCAGTTGCCAGTCTTAACTTCTCTAAGTAGTCCATTGCTCACAAAGCTTGTTCTA